TTTTTTTAATTAGAAATGCTTATTGTAGCAGGCCAGGCTTAGTAATGGAATCCAATTACCTTTGTACACCATATTAAACGTAAAACATGACTGTTCCTACCATTTAGGTGATGAAATAAAAATGTCACCAGTGTTGTTACTTTAGGTTTTAATAATCATTTTCTACAACATGAAATAGCTTGATTACCAAGCTCTACTGGTGGTCAGCAATGGCAACTCACAAATAACACTTCACACTCCTAACAAATGGCACACAAAACTTACCTTTCATTATGCATTTTAATAACTGGAAGTTGTTTGATTCTAATTTTTATACAACCATTTACACATTAACATGTACAGGGTACTCAATTCCAGTCACAGTGTATATATATTTTTGGATCCGCAGCAATATAAAATGAGTTCTACCTGTATATACATGTGCAAGTCCGAATGAGTCCTGAGTAATTTTAAAGTACTATTAGTCAAATCCTGTAAATTTTAACCGATGCAAATAAAACTCAGGTTTTACAGTGTTACGCTATCGCAAAGCAGCTATTTTTCAAAAAAAGAAATATAGCACTTTGCATTAGCTTTATGCATAGCTATGAACTCTGCACAGTGCACAGTATTCACTTAGAGTCTGAATAATTAGAAAATATGAAAAGATGCTGACCACATTCTTCGGTAACTATTGCTTCCTCTGCTGCTTAATTAACGGCGAGTGATTCGTTCTGCTTCAAAACAACCAAGTGTGGAAGACTTGCAGGATTTAAATTATATTCTTTCTTCTGCATATATTTTTGGTAAACATTCAAGTTACCCAGGCCCTTTAATCCTTCCGAGGAAAACTATACAACTATACAATCAAATAGTTAAAATGCAGGTCTTGGAGGGAGAAAAGAAACAACGGTGGAGTATGAGCATTACCTGAAAGACCACAGTGTTCTATAAGGAAACAAAAGAGGAAGTGTTCTTTAAGGAACAGCTTGGACAGAAACCAAAAGGCTGCTCAGAAACCCTCTGTCAGCATGACACACCGCCACGGTAAACACAAGATGCTCTCGCACCACCAGAACAAATTGTCTGAGCAAATGGGAAGGAAGCACTCCCGCTAAGGAGCGGATCCGAACTCAGCACAAGAGTCAGAATCTTTGTACAGTATTAACAGAGCAACTTACACAAAAATGTCTGTATACCCCACGCCAGGAAAATGCAGGCACTAATAGGAGAGCTGGTAAAGGACACAGGCTAGCGCTGGGGTGTAGCTGTCTTTAATTGGAGTTGTTCTGGTGCAATTTTCCAGGCATGGAGGAAGACACCATTTTTTCTTCTCCTCATTTATCTTGCATCGCAAAAGTGAAGGCACCACTCTGGCTGTGCTCCTCTGGCATAAGGGTCCTGGCCCAAAAGTTAGCTGGTCCCATGGCTACTGTAGTCAAAAACGCCTTTCCTGAAGAAGGGTGAGAATTCGCAGATGGTGTACTTTGACAGAGTCAGCCCCACTTTATCAATGTGCAGCGGAGACGACGGAGATTTCAGCATTGCGGAGAAAAAGCTCCTGAGGTACTTCTGTGGAATGAAATGCAAAACGTCACAAGGTTTACTTGATCAAATTGATTACAACCCACTTTGAAGAATTAAATGAGCAGCGGTATAAAAAAAACCCAAACAAGATCTCCATGGACTGTGAAACATCCTTTTAACAACCATCAGCATTTACTTCCACCCATAGAACAGGTCTACTGAAATGTCTGTATCAAGCTCAGGAAAAGCAGAGAATAAGTATTTTCGACTTTCTTCCTCTGCCAAGCTTAGTCACTGTTTTGTGCTGTGCTTGCGTGATGCTTTCTGGTTTATTCTGTAGTCATGTAATGCTTTCTGCTAATCGTGACCTGCTAATACTGCCGTCTAGCATTACCAAACACTACAGCAGGTGCAAACCTCAGATCCATTCTGTAGGAATTTCACTACATATGGACACAAAAGGACTTCAGAAATCTTTCCCTCATCAAGCCTCCACAATCCTTACATCGAAAAGGATTTGTTTTGATCAAGGCCATCTGCACAAAGACTGCACAACTTCCATATTATCTCAGAACCTACCAGCATCTTTTCACTGAGCTGCCCTCTAAATATATTTTTTTTTTGTCTTACACATAAGAAGCATTCCCCTTCCCAAAAGTTAATATTAATCAACCGCTGTGCAACTTGCATCCGCTTGTACCTAGAGAAATTGTGACAGATGTGCATTAACACAAAGTTAGTTTTCACAAACCTGATGGGGTTTCCTTCACATATGGGTTGAATTATTACAAACATTTAGCATGATTTAATAAGTCATATTTATAACTTCTGAATGAAACGCAGTAGGTGGTGTTGATCAGACCGGTGCTAAAGAAGCACCCAACCTCATCTGCAGCATGGGGATAAAATCCTTTGCTCTGCTACAGACTGACCACACAAAAAGCTAACTCGGGAAATTATTCACCAATCTTGGATGCAGTGGGAAATACATCTGTAAGACAGAACAGCACAGTCTCCTCTGAAGAGCACAAGGTTTAGTTATTTGAACTTGGCAGCTTTTGGGTCATGGAAGTGGCTCCATGTTTGGGAAGCAGTCCTACTTATTCCCTCTTTTCTGAAGGAGAATTCCTCCTTAGTATAACAACCTGTTACCTACTTAAGTGCCTTGGAAACCAGCTGTACAAATATCACAGAAAGCAGCATAACAAAAAACAACAACAAAAAAAGCAGCTGGCACATAAACTATTCTCTTGGTGGGACTGGAGAATTTTCTTTTTTATTCAGATCTCCCACAGGTTGTATTAATGTTCATGAAAAAAAAATTCATTACAAAAATGCCTTCAAGATGAATTCCAACAGACTAAGAGGTAATTTAAAGTGAGCAACAGATGTCATATCAGCATTTGTCATAATTAGTTCACAAAGCAGGGCCCGTTAAAAAAAGTCCCAATCCTGTAACGTCTGAAGGATGAATATGGTAGAAAATCAAATGTAAAACATGGCATCCTGTTAGAGTTTTAGCACTCTGCTGAAAAGTTACTGCAGTAATTCCAGTTTACGGCTACCAAAGGCTCAAAGGTACCAAAATTTCTCGCCGGAGACATTACAAGACCTATTGCATTCACCTTGGTATGGAGAGTCGGATAATTGACTGTCATACCTTTCCTGTAGAGCCATTATTCATTGTTTTGGCACGATAGCTTAATGGCAGAACAAAAAACCCCTCTGCTCTAAGCGTATACTTATCTGACAGGGAAACACTAGGAACAGCAGGTATACTTATTTTCCCAGATCTGCGCGCAGGAATTGCGCAGTGAATATCACAGATTCTTTGAACATGAAAAAGATCCTTGGGAAAATGGCAACAAGCAGACCCTACCAGATTATGATGGAATTAATTTTGTATGAAGGTTTCCAGCCATATGGCTTGGCATTATGCGCTCTTCAACGACTACCTCTGAGCAAATTAGCCCTCTTTTAAATCCCGTATCCGCATTTGCCCTTGTTTGCAATGCTGATGTGTTAGCATAGCACAGAGCTGATGCGCCCTTGACACAAAGAGGCTGTTGCTTCAGTGAAATAAAGGCTGCTCTGCCCAGATATGCTGCTTAGGAGCGAAGTCCCATAGTGAGGGAAACAGTGATTGATGGCAGAATTGTTTGCTCATACCACAAGCATATGCCTCAATTAAAGAGCTGTGGCTAGGCAGTAAGGGGGAAGGTTGCTCTGACCTGTTGGATGCAACGTGGACAACAAAGTGGAGGAAAGGGGTAGGAGAAAAGGAAGAGGATGCCTTCTCGGTGTGTGGAAAGATGCTTCCCAAATTCAGATGGGATAGTGAGAGGATGAGGGTCACAGCAAGTGGGAGAGGGGTAGAAGCACATCAACACCAAGCGTCAGAGATGATGGAAAGAAAACTTTATCTTAAGAGATCCAGAAGGGACTCGACATGAACTTTGCTGCAACCCAGGAGGCCACTGCAAGCTGCTGAGTGAAAGCAAGGCTAGATGAAAGGATCTCCTCTGTCAGGACTCGGTGGGCAGGGAGAGAGCTGTTTTCAAAGCTCTTCTATTAAATCCATTTCCAGCAGAGATACGATTTTTCTCTACGTACAGAATAGTGTTATTTATGCTGAGTTGAAACTAGGTAGGAAGCACTTTGGTATCTTTTGATGTGTTCCTTAGCAGAGACTGGAAAGCTCAGGGTGCCTTCATGGAAACAAGCCCAAATTTTATACAAATTAGAGCTGTGACTTCCTACCAGCACTTCACAGATAGCATCTAAATTATTGTCCCTACTATGCAAAGCACTACGTTATAGCAATCCTACTTTTGCTAGGCTTGCATGATTACCTTGGAAAGAAAAAACTAGATAACTGCTACAAATATTCCAAAAAGTTTGGGTTTATTACTCATTTTCATTTGTTAGCCTTTCAAAACTCTAGCCATTTGTTCTGGATTATTTAGTCTGGCAATCAGTGTTCTTCCAAATGCACTTCGGAGTTTCATTTCACTAATAGCGCTCAACCTGCTACGTTGCGAGTTTGCTGGAAAATATCCTAATTATAAATTTGTAAACGTCTCAATGTGAGGGCACAGGACCTTGGCACGAGAACAGGGATTAAAACGAGTAACTTAAACATCCATCACGTTGGCTGCTCAGTCTAAACACACAGTCATGAACGCCAGTTTAGAGAGCAGAAATACTCTTCGCACATACAAAATACTTAAAGATAAAAACCCAGGTTAAAAAAAAAATCCAAAATATGAAAAGCAGTGTTTTTGCCCTCTTGGCACGCATTACAGCCTTCATGGCCTTTAACTTAATATTTATGACAATCATACCTGCAAGTTTTTAACTTTGCATTCCAAATGTTTGCAAATGAAACAAGACTGGAGAAAGTGTTGCGAGGCCCAAAGGTTTTTCTTTACTTACCAGTTTGAGTAGCTTTGCCTCCCTCTTAATTATGTGAATAGCAAAATGGCAACCATTTTAAAAGCTTATTAAAAATCATTTTAATAGAGTTCACCTTTTTAGCAGCAGGCCAGTGTTCATCTCGTGCTCAATCCATCAGCACAGCAAAGTCATTCTAATGATTTTTGCACTACTTCGTGATGTGGGGACCTCATAATTTTATACATTTTAATATAAATCCATAACTTAATTTAAAGTTATTAAAGTTATTACAATCAAAAAAGCTTTCTGGAATGTGAAAGCGTTCTTATCATCCTTCCAATTGTGGCATATTAAAGAGGAATTCAGTTCAATGACATTGTTCTCATAATCCATTACAAACAGCGACAGCCTCAGAGACCAAGAGCACAGCTTAGTAAGAATTGGATTTTTTCCATTTAACTTTGGTGTGTTGAAAAACTCATCAACTCCAGCACTTCCAGAAAGTGAAGAAACTTGGAGCTTTCTCTCTCCTACTGCTGTTTCTAGCAATTTTTTCAAAAAACTCAGCATTTTAAACTCTTTAAATATCACACTTTACAATTAGCATTATAAGTATCACCTGCTAATATTTGACAGAGCTGACAGCACCACAAACCTTAATAAGATAAACCCTGCAAGGCTTTGGGGATTTTTGAAACAATAGCTTCTTTTCTTTGAAACAATACCACCCTTTCAACACCTACACATCAATGTGACAGACAAAAGCTTAACCACAAGGTCACAGAAGGTCATCGGTGGCAGAGGTAGGACTAATTAACTTGCTCATCTAACTTCCAGCCTTGGGTCCTCTCTCCCTTTAATACAGATGCTAGTTTCTCTCAGCACCAATCACATAATTATTCTGTTGACTAGTATTAAATGCTGCAAGCTTTAAATCAAATCTTGATTTGAATTATTCAGAGAGCAAAGCATACATGGGTATCAGCAGCTGTTTTCTATAGGATAGGAATCCGATTACAAAAAAAAGAGACAGGATGAAGCATATTCCCTGACTCCAAAAAAATCACATTATGCTGCAATTGGGTATTTGCAAAGTAAGATCTTCCCAAGGAAGACTCTAGCCCAAAACAAGCAGACAGGGACACGCTTCGGTTCCAATCTGTGATCACAAAAATAAGGATCTGCTTAGAAGACGACGTGCAAAGGGAGCCTGCCCTAATGCAGAAATGGGAGTGCAGCTCCTGCCTTTGTCTCCTAGAAAGAAACTGTGCATATGCAAAGGAAAAGGAACATTTGGGGATTCTTTCCCAAATTAAGCAACTTTGTCTATTTTGGACCTTTCCATTGGTGTCTTGAAGAGAAAAAAATATTCCTTCCAGGGAGGTTTTTCAAATATAAAACACTGCAGAAATGCCAGCTATCATCACTAACTACAGTCTCTACTAACAAGAAAAAAAAAACCCAAACCAACTTGGCTTAACCAGCACTGACAGGTGACGGCGTCCCACAGAGACTTCAGGCTGGCAAAGGGCCCTGTCGGGGGTGATGCTGTACACAGGCTCTGACAAGAAGAGACTGTACATCTTCCCAGGAAAAAGAGGATTCAAACTTCTCATTGGATCTGCTTCTTCCCTGTGTTTTTTTTTCTT